GGAAAGAGAGAGATATGTTTTTGATCAGCAGTCTTTTCATACATGTTTTGCTTGCTTACTTTTATTGAGGATGATGGGACAATACGACCTCATAGGTTTTCTTTCATACGTAGTTTATGAGGATCCTGAAAGGGACCTCCTGGGTCATGGATTCCCAGACAACCATGTTGAATAATCTCTCATACATTGACCATTCTTAACTGTAAGTCTCATTAGGGTTTTTTATTTCCATTACTTTTCTTGGAAGACTGTTCTATAACCTCATCCCTCTGATGCTCAGAAACCTTCCTATAAATTCCACCTTGAAATTATTCATGGCCAATTTATTCCCCTGCGCTTTTGTGCTAACATTATTGTTGGGTTTTTTTAAATGAAATGGCTCTTTTCCCTCCCTAACATTAGTTCACTCAGTGTGTAAAGGGAAAACATATATTCTTTCTGTTTTCATTTTGTGAAGCGAAACTTAGATGTGTAAGATGGGTTCTCCATTCCCTCGTTATTGCAGGAACATTTCTTTACACCTATTCCAAGATGATTTAAATTGTTTCAAAGCAGGTGACCAGAATCATATATAATTATTAATGATAAAACCTTTACCTGTGCAATATGATGGCATTCACAGAATCACAGAATGATAGGGGTTGAAAGGGACCTCAGGAGACGATCTAGTCCAACCTCACTGCCAAAGCAGGTTCCCTACAACAGGTTGCACAGGAAAGTGTCCAGGCGGGTTTTGAACATCTCCAGAGAAGGAGACTCCACAACCTCTCTGGGCAGCCTGTCCCAGTGCTCTGTCACCCTCACAGTAAAGAAGTGTTTGCTTAAGTTTGTCTGGAGCCCGGCCCCATTCATTTGGCCTTCGCACTTCAGGTATTTATACACATTGATAAGTTCCCCTCTCAGTCTTCTCTTCTCCAGGCTGAAGAGTCCCAGCTCTCTCAGCCTTTCCTCATACGGGAGATGCTCCAGGCCCCTCATCACCTTTGTAACCTCTGCTGGACTCCCTCCAGAAGATCCCCTGTCCCTCTTGAACTGAGGAGCCCAGAACTGGACACAGTATTCCAGATGTGGCCTCACCAGGACAGAGTAGAGGGGGAGGAGAACCTCCCTCGACCTGCTGGCCACGCTCTTTTTAATGCACCCCAGGATACTGTTGGCCCTCCTGGCCACAGGGCACACTGCTGGCTCATGGCCAGCCTGCTGTCCACCAGCACACACAGGTCCTTTTCCACAGAGCTCCTCTCCAGCAGGTCAACCCCTGTACTTGTGCAGGCGGTTATTCCTCCACAGGTGAAGGACTCTGCACTTGCTCTTGTTGAACCTCATCAGGTTCCTTTCCACCCAACTCTCCAGCCTGTCCAGGTCTCGCTGGATGGCAGCACAGCCTTCTGGTGTGTCAGCCACTCCTCCCAACTTTGTATCATCAGTCTTCCCTGCTTGTCTTAACTGGAAGTTAATTTATTTCATTACATCTTAGAATCCCATTTGCCTCTATTACTGTGTGACATACGAAATACCTCACAGTCATGCTGTGAACAGTTAAGACGCAGTTGTTTGTTTCCACTGCAATTTTTAATTGATCAGCATTCGAATTTACAAGAAATTCATGCAGTTAGCTGCTGTTGTACGTGACCCTGTACTTCTGTACGTTTCATCTGTTTTTAGAGTTTCCAGTCTTGAAGGTTCTCTGACTTTTCCTTTACAGTGTTAAAAGCTCTTTAGGTGTTCATAATGCTACTCAGTGGTGTACATTCAGCAAATGTTAGCATGCTGATATTTTTAATTAACAGTAAATGAACATTTTGAGTAGATACTGTTCATGACACTTCACTAGTAATCTCCATCTGATTTAATGGCATCCCTTTCTCCATTATTTGTCTTTGTTTCCCTTTTGCCCAGTTTCTTACCTGCCTTAAAATTCTTGCAATTTTTGTTTTCTATAAGTTCAGTTGCTTAAGTGGCACCATGTCAAGTCCTCTGGCAGTCCTTCACATTTTCTGTCACCAGAAAATGCATTATCTTTGAGAAAAAAAGATAAGTCATTGGACATTATCTATGTTTAGTTTTCATTTACTCTATATTTTTCCTTCTTTTACTTTTTCTCCCTGCTCCAAGCTGAGGACTGCTATCACATTTTCCTCCTCCTTACATATAGATGGATGTTTGGCTGTTCTGCAGCAATATGGTCCCTACCTAATAGAACAGTTGCCAGGTTTTGCCTCTGGACTTGTGATTTCTGAGGCACTCTCCCAACAGTGTCAGCATATTGAGTTTTTCTCCTACCTTGAATAGAGTAATTTCTATTCTCTTTTCTGCCCTTGTGTTTAACCTCTTCATCTTTACTGAAAACAATTTGCTGAGGCAAAGGATTTATTCCATTTTGGGGATACACATAGATTAGCTTTAATATCTATCCAATCCTTACTGTATAGCAGCTTCACTTTTTCTTTTTTGATTCCCTTTTTGCCTCTGTGGCTAAACAACTTTCTACTATTCATTTTAATTTCCTTTGCAAGGTCTAACTCAGCTTGACTTTTTGGCAGTTCTCACTTTATCCCAGTATTACCTAACCTCTAAAACAATTTTTTTTTTTGGTCAGTCTTTTTTTCCCCCATTCATCAGAGAATTCTGCTTACTCCTACTATTTTTTTTGGAGGGGAGGGGGAATATGCGTGTATCTGTGTGAGCAAGGGGGAGTGTTCATATAGTTTAGTCTGAGAAGCTCTTCAAGATTTTTCACCTTGTTTGAAGTAAAAGATTGAAAATCACTTCTGTCTTTTTATTTTACATTCCAAGTGTCTTCCTCACCCATCAAGTCCTTTTAGAGAAGTAAGATATATAGTTTGCAAAGTTTACTCCTCTGGAATCAAGAACCCCACTTTTGATTATCTTTTCCATTTAAACTGAGGCACCCTATGTCTACTGAAACTAGATTACTTGCTACACTGACCTTTCCTGCAATGTCCTTGCTACTTACTGAAAAAACATCTAAAGTAACCTCATTTCTGGCTGGTTCAGTGACTATTCTGTTAAGCAGTATGTCAGCTAGCAGATGCAGGAATAATTGGGCCCTACTGTTATTAATAGCATTTGTTCTCCAATGTATATGTGCAGATATAAGTTATTTCCATGTGGTTGGACAGTTTTTCTGGCTGCACAGTTACTTGGCCCTTTGATTCAGTTAAGAGTTATCTTTATGCATTGTTAAATACACATCAGGTGCCAGCTGATATTCATTAGCCATATAAGCATGTTACAACAACTATATTAAACGACATGTGATGTACATTACATGTTATGTACGATTAGCTTTTATACCATTGGGATACTTCTGAGAATCTATTTTTTAAACTAGTTTTATTTCAGCATTTTGGTTACAGAGGAAATGTGGCTTAGAACTGTTCAGTTGTTGGGCAGTGAAATCTTGCGAAGGATCCAATTAATTTCCAGAGTACTGACAAGGGTGTGTATGATGCTTCTGTATTTAAGTCTTTGCAACTTCAGAGATTAAAATGGTCCTTTATTTCTCAGTCTCAGAGGAGCAAGGCAGGCTTGTACACTAGAACATATACTCTCCTTGAGACCATTTTTATTCACTTGTATTGACATTTCTCTTCATGATGGCAAGGTGTATTAACAGACGTAGTATAGGATTGTTGCAAATAAAGAAGAGTCTAACATGTATTTCCTATTATGGTAAAGTAATTGCATGTTTGGAAATTATGTTAAATTCTGAAGGGAGGAGAGATTTAGAAACTTCAGTGGTTAACAGAAAAGCTACAACATTCTCTCTTGTTAGAGAGTAAAGTGTGATTTAATGATTAAATAAAAATTACATATTCTTTGTATTAATTGTAAGCCATTGATCTTGTGTTGTAATCGTCCTACTGTCCAGTTTGTCAGCATAGGGAGTCTGTCCATTGGCAGATGATGACAGATATCTACAACAAATATATAGGCTCTGGTGCAACTAAAGAGCAAATGTTTTGCTGAAATGCAAACATTTTGCTCTAAGTTTTAAAAACTTGTTTATTAGATTCCAAAGAGAGGAGAATAGTAATTATTCATTAGATTGTCATTTGAAAATGTAATCATAGCATAGTAAACAGCGTCCTAGAGAGGCTGATCCAGATCCCATTGAAATCAAAAGAAAAGGCTGCTGTTGGATCTGGTTCTAAGAGCTGAGAAATCTAAGCTGCAGACCTGGCTTCTGTGCCAAAGAGAGAGAGGGAGGTGGAGAGAGAGAGATCACAAGCACCATAAACAAAATGAATAAAACAGGATCTTAAAATGTGTGGTACCATCCAAGTTGCTTGCAAAATCACTCTCTTTGGCACAGAAACTAGGAAGGCCACAGTTTAGATTTCACAGGATATTAAGGACAGGGTAGTAATATCAGATATGTAATAATAATAAAAATACAGTGTTGTAAAATACTGTATACTTTTTTCCCTTTTGGAAACCTACCAGGAAGTTTTCACCTTTAAACTAAACACATGCTCACAGTTTATGGAAAGAGATATTCATACTTATGGCCTGATCATGTGAAGTGCTGAGAACTGTTCGCTTTCATTATTTTTGAAGTTAGAAGGCATCCAGCACATGCAGAGTCAAGCTTCTTAATATACTGTTGGATTCAAGTGATGAAGCAGTTAGCAGAACTGTGTCAGTGTTTCACTGTTGCCAAACTGTAGAAACTGATTACTTCTAAAGGTTGTGCAGATAGTAGACTAGATGATGATCCACTTGTGTTGGCAAATAGCAGTAACATTGGAGTTGCTGCACAGTTCCATGAAACCATGGGGACCAGCGTCTAGGTTCCCTGGCTATTAAATGCTCACTTCCAACAGCTGCTCTGTAAAAGTTCTCTAAATAGACTCTGATACCAAAGTCACAATTGTGGGAGTTAAAACAAGATTCAAGTGATTTCTAGAAGTCATTCTTCAGAAGACTAGGAAGAAGAAAAAGCTTCCCATGCCACTGAATGATCTCTTCTGAATATGGTAGAGATGGTATATATTCATGTGCAAAGAAGACAATTACAGAAAGAAATCTTCCACTGTTACTGCAGATTCTTCAGTTGATTGCCAGTCCTATTTTGGTGCTATGGTTACGTTATAAAGCCAAAGCTTTAAACTTCCAAGTGTGTACATCATAAAAGTGGTTGACAGAGCAACTTCCTCACTCTAACATTTCAGAAAAGGAAATTATCAGATGTCCCTGCGGAAGCAGAAGAAGACTGTACTAAGTTTAACAGCAGCAATCTGAAAACCAAAAAGGTAAGCAAGCCATGCATTCATGCATGTTTTGCTAAAGCATAGATTAATATCCAACAGTAGCACAGAGTGCCTATTTTTCTCCTCCAAAACACATCAGAAAAAGAAATACGCCATGGCAGATGTCTGGTTTTATCTCCTTGAATTTTTCATACAAGCTTAATTTGACTTTGATAGTCTTAATGTCCCATTCTGAACTCTTCTATACTGGTACTGTTTGACTGTATTTTATCAGTGAACCTCACAGACTTTGACATGTGTTCGGGTGCTCAGCTAATGTTTGCAAAGCTCTTTGAGATTTTAGGTGAGAAATCCTATGGCTTAATGATAACAACTGTTGAATTTCAGTTATTTGAAAAAGAAAGACAGCAGCATTCATTTAAATTCCAAGGGATGCTAAGACAGGCTTTATTTTTATTTTTTATTTTTACCTGGAAATAGTGCTTGTGCACTTACTTACGTCAACTTAATGAAGTTAAATCAACACAGAGCTTGCTGATTGCCAGCTCCAACACAAGTTTGGAGGCCGATTCAAATCTGAGTCCAGTGGTGCATGCCACTGTACTATTCCTAGGAGAGCAAGTGAAAAGAAATAGGTTCTGTCTCTGTGTGCCAAATTAGTGAGGCTTGCACTGGCTTATTTCTCTGAAGATTGAAAGAAAATTAATCCTTCTCCAGTCCATCAGGAACCAAAAAGATCCTCTGTGCTGGTCTTGTGACCTTCAGATTGATGCTGACTATTTATCCGCCCTTTGCAAAGAGAAGCAGCTGGTGACAGATGCATTCCTTCCTTCCCCCAAAACACGCCGAATTTTTTGTATTCAGGGCACATGAAGTAAGTTTTGAAGTAAGAAGAGGATTGTCCCATGAGTGAAGCTAATAAATAGGTTAAAATATGTGTGTTTCCACCCTTCCCCCATTATGTACTTATAGCTTTTGAACTGGGCATAAAGATAGAAATAGACTGAGGAGACATAATTCATTTTAACATTAAATATGATTTACTTCTGAAATAATGAAGCACATTGATGAAAGAATCTGGGAAAGATCGCTCTTGAACTCTGTGCAGTATACTACTCTTTTTAAAATACTTTGGCAGTGTTTTTGTTTGTATAGTAACACAGACGGTCATACTGTTGTTGCGTATCTCCATCCTATCCATAACCTTCTAGCTGATCCCAAGTATTATAATTGTGAAGTCCCCCAGACTGAGGAGTATCATAAAGAAAGATCAATGCTCAGTTTTCTTAATAGGGAAAACAGCTAGAGATTTAAAATATAACATTTTAAAATGTAAGAAAGAAAAGAGGTCAGCTCTATAAAACGTGACTCATAAAATGTGTTTTAGGTGTAAAAGGCTGGGAAGTTGTCCCAGTGGCCTCAAAGTGCTTCGCAAATATTAGTTACCTTCTTCATTCTTAGCTCTTCCATCTCTTTTCCCTTTAGTTCACTGTGCATAGTCTTTGATAATAAGTCACTGTGAATTATTCATCATCTGTAATGCAAGGCTGTAATTCAGCCTGCTGACAGCATAATCATGAGATTGAGTTGGAGGGTACAGTGTGTGTCTGTTATATTGCATGCATTATTTCTCTTAATGTACACTCAGGGATTTATCCCAAAGTAAATGTTTGAGTTGGGATACCTCGTTCTGCTGAAGGGAAGGATGTTTCACCTCCTGTCCTTGTAATTGATTCTCTGTCTTTATCTGTGGTTAAGTAATTTATGATAACTGTTTTTTTGTTTGAATAATCTCAAATTTGTGTAGTACGGTTTTTCTCCTACAATTTAAAGCCTGCATAACATTATCTTTGCTGCTGTGTACTAAAAAAAGTAATTCAGCTTCTTCCTTTACTTCTGTATTTAGGAGTTTGTAGCTTAAACTCCTCTCCTATGGAGATGCTGCTTAACTTTTTGTTTCTCATTTCACTGACAGGCAAACAGCAAGATGTCAGCAGCACAGAAGGCTCTGGCCAAAGTTGATAAAAGTGGAATGAAATCCATTTCTACTTTCTTCAGCTCCAAACCTAAAGCATCAAAATAAAAACTTGTTCTTGAAAGAGTTTTATACCATGGTTATTTTTATGTTAAGCTAAAGATGTCTCCTGGGCTTTTTTGTTAGTATAGTATATGCAGGGCATGTCTGTGTACATGGTGGTGTGATGAAGAGGTCTGCGAGCTGGTGTGGGACAAAGCCGTTATGCATCAGTGGGGCAAGGCAGTACCATGCAGATGTTCCAGCCTGGGTCATCAAGGCCACCTAGCTGCATTAGCATGGCCCTGTGAGCTGAGAAGCAAGGTTTAGTATCATACCATACTGTAGCGCTGCTTGTCCTAGAGCAAAGCTCAGTCAAGGCCACCACAGAGTTTTCTCCTTTGCACTCCATTCTAGGCTGGAAACACACCCTCCTTTGATGAGGTTTTGAAGGAGAGTTTTGTTCATAAGGAACATTGTTTTTGAGACTTTTGAAGATTTTTGCCCAATATAACACCAGAGTAGGATGACATCATTAGTTTTTTATGTTGACCCAAATCTAAGTGCTGATGTAAGCATTGCTGTTGGTGGCAATTTATCGAGGCAAAGATAGCGTCTCTACTGGGATTTTGGTTGTTTTGAATATGCTAGAAACAAATTGCAATAAATGTCAATGTGCATGTGATGCAATAAAGCGCTTTGTGTAACAAATTTGTACTTGTTGTATTTGCTGTATGTTTCAAGAGTTAGATTAGGCTTCAGGACATTTCTTAAGGGGTTTTGATATTTTCCTATGTATAAATTTTAATCCTCGAAGAATTACAACGTCGCTTTGGGTTTATGTGATAAATCTCTTAACACATAGCAATATAAGGGTATTTTTATGTTACTTTCCAAGGTCAGTGGGTCCTTACAAACATAACGGAAAGATTTATTTAAAGGCAAAACTGGGGCTTTTGAAGAAGCCTCTTTGGAGCTGGATGCGTAGTTCAGAAGCTTAAGTATGAGTGTCTAGGATAAGGTTTAGTTTTATGAAGTTTTGCACAATGTAGAGTTGTTACTGAAAATGCTACTCACTCTTGAGTGTGTTTATTCCTTATTACAGAGTATTCCTATGTATTCAGCGGGATAGCTATCTGCTATGTTGTGACTTCTCTAATTCACAGAATTGAAATGGAGATGGAGTCTCTGGGACCACTTGTATAGGTCTAACCAGTTCTGCACGACACTAACTCGTAGTTTCATCCAGCAGTTATTGCACTGAGCCATTACTGTGGATCAACTACAGCGTGTTTTAGAAAAGACACTCTTAAAATACGTCATTCTTTGCTACTTCAGCACAATAGAGAATCCACCTGTATCCCTTGATAATGGGGAGTTTCAGAGAAACTAGGAGTTTCTTCACTTTAGTAACTATGCCATTTTTCCGCTTCAGACTTGCTGTTTACAACCCATGGATTACAGTGATGTCTGTTAGGTTGAAGAGCTCTGTGGTGTTCTCTTCCAACCAGAAATGAATGAGAAGCCTTACTTTGTATTGTTTGTAGTTTTGCAATTGTTGTTGAGTTTGTATGCCTTTCAAAACTCTCAAACTTTTGAGCATAGTTTGTGAATGGGGAAGTCAGTATGGTTGGAATTCCAGATAGGGGAATATATTTGGATATCTATGGAGCTATTATCTCTGATTACAGAGAGATTTATTTAACACATGTGGATGGACTCCCAGTAGCTTACAGTTAATATTCACAGTTGTAAAAGTGTTTGTCTGAAGTGATTATCTAGAACCAAAATGAAGTTCCTTAGAAAAAAAGTGCTTTTTGGGCATTCTAAGGAATCACTACTGTAAGTCTTCCCTATCTCTGAAAATCAGCCTGTAGTACTAGAGATTGAACGTAGCTTGAGAAGTGTGTGATGCAGATGCAGAGACTTGATTGATTTTTCAGTTAGAGTTGTTATCCCAAGCCATTTAGTGCTTTAATAAAATTCCAGTCATGAATGGCAACTTTCTGAAACAATATAAGGGGGGTGGGGAGCAGCAAGGGACACAAAAAAACCCAGGAATTGCTACTGTGGAGCCATAGAGAAATTCCTGTTACACGACACTGTACTTTAGTGTGTACATCTCAACTTTACCTGTCAGCTGTCTTTAGCAGAATTTCACCAGCCCTATCAGTAAAGTTTACTTTTCTGACATCAATTATCAAACAAGTTTAAAAATTATCAATATCAATGTACAATTTCTGTATGCACCATCTTTGGAATTGCCATCTTGCTTTTTTCCTACCTTACTTGTCTAGGCTGTAAGTGAAGACCAGCCCTGTAGCATTGATTTATGCAATGGGTCCTCACTATGATTGGAAAGAACTGGCATCTTGTGAGCCCAGAATGAGCAATTGCTGTCTTGAACTGGAAGGGTTAGATTTTGAAAAATATTCAGCCTAGCCCAGCAGTTTATTTGACAGTCCAAGAAATCCCCCAATTTCATAACAGTAGGAGAAGGGATACATCAATGATGATAACTTTTGAAAACCACCACTCAAAGTGCAGGATCATATTATTAAAAAAAAACAAACAGGCACATACTGTCATGTTAATAGAGGTTTATGCAGTAAGCATCATCTAAGGGAGTATTATGGTAAATAGGAGGAAAGGAATTGTGTATCTATTAATGGAAAGCCAATTCCAAGCACTAGAAGACGTTGAGAAGGCAGACAAGCATGGGATAGACATTTGGAAAACCAGAGTGGGAGAGAGTTACATTAGAAACAGGAACTATGAGGTAGGACAGATACATGGTGGAAACTTTTCTGGATATTTAAATCTAGTTTTAAGGGTTTGGTTTTTAATAGCTCAAAAGTTTTGTGCAATAAATTTTGGAAATACATCTTTTCATCAACTGAACAGTTCAAGAACCTTTCTTCTAAGAAAAAGTCACAGTTTCTCTGGACAGAATTTAGGATAGAAGGAGGATAATTCTGATAGAGATGGGAGGCCTTTATGCTGATTTTTGATGTGGGGTACTGATTTTTTTCTTTCTCTGCACATGACTTTCATGTCTGCTGCTGCACTCAAAGACTAAGTCTAGAGTTCTTCCTCTGTGCATAGATGCGTTGTGCTTTAGTGTGTCACATCTCGACTTTACCTGTCAGCTATGCCGTAATTTAGAGCAATAGTAATTTTATTAGTGACTATGCCTTTGGTTGAGCAGGAATTTGTGCATGACAAAAAAAATAAGCCATTTCCAAAAGCCATTAGAGCTTTCACGTGAAAACAAAAACTCTTTTCCCTTTAGGAAAGAATGAAATACATTTAGTAACTTTGAAACTTCCTCAATATGTAGCTGTAAGAAGTTATGAAGAGCAGGTGGTGCCAAATACATAAAACAATATTTCCTGCCACAATGAGGATTTAAATATAGTTACTATGCCTGGCCAGCAGTAGCAGTAGGTCATTATGAAGTGCTGCTTTACTATTTCTTCCTTAGTTAGCTTAGTATGAAACAATATGCTAGCACCGTTATAGAAGCGTGATCTTACTTTGTTTCTTTTTGGCATTAACATGACATGTCTACATGCTCATGTAAACACCTGATGAGTTGTGATGCTTTTACAGTTGTTGTTTTGGGATTAAGCAGTTCTTACTTTTCCACTTTTTTAGACTACACATTGCAAATGGACTGATATCAGTGGGCATGGAAAACTTCATGTGGAAATACCAGCACTTACTTAGGGAAATGTAAGGGTTGGACTTGCACCATCATTTTCAGTCTTAAGTAATAAACTTAATTTTATTTGTAGAAGTGACAGGTGTTGATTTGACTATTTTCAGTGGAAAAGGCAGCATAGTTGGCAGAATTTACATTCAGATCCAATATTTTAAAGAGTTCAGAGCTGCTTGTTTTCAGGTGTTCAATTGCATCTGACGATGTTTTTTAGAGGAAAACTAAATGCATGGATGCTTATTTGAACAGATTAATGTTTATGACTAGGGTTTTCTCTTTCCTTTTTAGATGCCTGCACAAAGACGTGCAAAGAAGAAATGAAAGGAGCATAAGGAGACTCGCTAATATTATTTTAACTTGCCATAATCTCAAAGCAGCTTTTAAGGGCTTTTTTTACGCACTTTCTGAAAATAAATGCTTGAAGTTAGACATGCCCTGTTCCAAGAAAAAGCAAATCTCAGCAGATTAGCATTGTTAAATATGCGGTGTGTTAAACATACACTGCTTCAAATTTTATAGCTTATACACTATTGGTCTATCGGGCCCTTCCAGGAAAGCACTTACGAGCATGCCTAATGTTAAGCACATGAGCAGTGATGTTGAAGTCAGCACTGTTGTTCGTGTGAGTAAGTGCTTTGCTGGATCAGCGCCTAAAGTCCTGTTAGGTGCTGAGCATCCTGATCCATATCCAGCAAAGCACTTACATCCATGCTTATCTTGAAGTGGAAGAGCCAGTCTAGCTAATATTTGTACATTAGTGTTCACCATAAAATCTCTCTTGGCACAGTGACTCGCATGCTTAAAATTAAGCACCTGCCTGAGCATTTTGCAAGGTCAGACCAACAGCATCTTTGAGCAAGTCTTAAATAATTACTTGATCTTGTATGAATTTTCTTTTTTTGTACTCGTTTTCTAACAGAGTGTATGATTTTAGTGGGCATAATTGCAAGTTTTAGAAGCTGCATAGCAGAATATGTTGTATGCAGTTTTTTCCTTTCTTTTTCAAAATCTAGCCAAATTCAGCAAGATGGCCTTTTTTGGGCTAGAAGTCCAAAGTTCATACTTAGAATTGTCAAAAATTAAAAAAAAAAACCAACCAACCAAACAACAAAAAAACCCAAAACCAAACCAATCTCTATTTTTTAGGACATTTACATTGTTTGTAATTATTTCACTGAGTTTGATTTAAGTGGTTTTGTCCAACCCTGACCTTTTATCTGGAAGATATCACCTCACTCTGGTTGTGCAGACAGTCTGACTCTTGAAGTGCTAAAGCTTGAGGTAGGATGTGTGTTCAGAAGGGCAGATGGAGAAGTTGTACTTTGATTTGACTTCTTTTTTTTCTAAG